ATTTATTTACTATAGGTGTTACAGATAGTCCCCTGTGCAGGGCATGTATGGGGGAGGAAGAAACGGCGGCCCACGTGCTACTGAAATGTCCGGAGGTCGCTACGTACAGGGCTAAACATCTCGGCACGCCGAGTTCACTCCCCCGAATTTGCATGCAACATCAAGGGACTGTTGAGCTTCTTCGGGGAGATCTCATGGCTCGAATAATCACATTATTCCTGCCCACACGCAAAATATGCGTATAGACGTGGAGTTGCGGAAAACAGCCCGTCGTAAACTAAACTAAACTTATTAAATGAATTGCTGCTTTACTTGCCATAAATTGAAATATAACACATTTTTCGCGGTGTACCGTAAGATTTCACGATGTTTATAGGAACCACAGACAATTAAGGAACAAAAAGAAAACATATTACATTTTGATAGAAGCTAGCCAGCTCATGTGGTGTCCTAGAAGGGTGAATAATATCAATATTTAAATATTGTTATCACATCTAAATTGAGATTTTGTAAGTTACGCCTTTTGACACTCGGCTCACATCTTTTCAATCGATTTGGCACATACTTTAGAGTCGCTTAATGAGGTATGTATTATTATTATCCGGTGGAGGTTTAGTTCTATATATATATATTTATCATCATCATCATCATCATTACAGCCCTTCACAAGTCCACTGCTGAACATAGGCCTCCCCCAAGTAATGCCACAAAGCACGGTCCTGAGCCACCTGCATCCATCGACTTCCTGCATGTCTTACCAGGTCGTCACTCCATCTAGTGGGGGTCGCCCTACACTACGCCTACCGGTACGAGGCTGCCACTCGAGAACCTTTCTTCCCCATCGGTTATCGGTTCTTCGAGCTATATGGCCGGCCCATTGCCACTTCAGCTTACTAATCCGTTGAGCTATGTCGGTCACTCTGGTTTTACTGCGGATATCCTCATTTCTGAGTCTATCACGCAGAGAAACTCCGAGCATAGCCCTCTCCATAGCTCGCTGAGCGACCTTAAGCGTCCTCATACGGCCAGCAGTGAAGGACCACGTCTCAGATCCGTAAGTCATCACTGGCAACACGCACTGGTTGTACAATCTAGTTTTTAGAGATTGAGGTATACCTGACGAAAAGATATGCCGTAATTTCCCGAACGCTGCCCAGCCGAGTTGAATCCGTCGATTGACCTCTCGGTCGAAGTTGGACTTACCTAGTCGGACTATTTGTCCCAGGTAAACGTATTCGTCAACAACTTCGAGCATAGTGCTCCCAACAACTACCGGCATAGGTGTGACATGGACATTGAACATGATCTTTGTTTTGTCCATGTTCATCTTAAGACCTATCCGTTGGGAGGCACTATTGAGGTCATTGAGCATAGTGCTTAAGTCCTCCAGCGATTCTGCCATAAGGACTATATCGTCGGCAAATCGAAGGTGAGTGATGTACTCGCCATTGATGTCAATACCGTATCCTTTCCAGTCCAGTAGCTTGAAAACGTCTTCCAATGCAGCGGTGAAGAGTTTCGGGGATATAACGTCACCCTGTCTTACACCTCTCTGCAGTTGGATAGGTTTCGAGCTCTGGTTCTGTACTCGGATAGCCATCGTAGCCCTACTGTACAAACACTTCAGCACTTCGATATACCGACAGTCAACTTGGCACCGCTGAAGGGACTGTAGCACCGCCCAAATTTCGACGGAATCAAAGGCTTTCTCATAGTCCACATACGCCAGGCAAAGTGGCAGATTGTACTCTTCAGTCTTCTGTACAATCTGCCGCAGGGTATGTATGTGGTCTATGGTACTGAAGCCTTTTCGGAAACCGGCTTGTTCGGGAGGCTGGAAGTCGTCAAGTCTGCGTGCGAGACGATTCGTAATGACTCTCGAAAACAGCACGTAGACGCGGCTCAGAAGGGAAATCGGTCTGTAGTTCTTTAAGAGAGCGTTGTCGCCTTTCTTAAAGAACAAGACCACCGCACTTCTGCTCCACGCCTCTGGAGTAGTGCCACCATGGAGGACGGAATTGAAGAGCTTCTGCAGGACTTCAAGTACCGGTGTTCCACCCGCTTTCAGAAGCTCCGCTGTAATTCCATCCTCGCCTGGGGCCCTGCCGTTTTTAAGGTGCTGGAGAGCCATTCTAATCTCGCTTAGACTGACGTCCGGGATATCATCGGAATAGTGTCGGATAAGACTTGCTCTTGGATCGTTACTCACACTTGCGTGTGGCTCCAACGATGATATGTACAGCTGCCCATAGAACCTCTCAATCTCACTCAAAATCTCAGGTGTCCCGGAAACGATGTTGCCACACTCAGTCTTCAGCCTTGACAGTTGGCTCTTTCTGGCAGACAGATCTCTGGCAAAGACTTTGGAGCCCTGGTTCCGCTCGATCGCTTCTTTAATACGAGAAGTATTAAAGTTGCGTAAGTCTCGCCGTATGCATTTGGAGATCTGTCTGTTCAGTTGCCTGTATGCTGTGAAATCTGTTGACGATTGCAGCCTCATCTCCCGTCTAACAGCCATGAGATTAAGAGTGTGATCGGAGAGTTTTTGTGTTCTTCTGCGGCGGGTCTTGCAGAACTTCTTGCTCCGACCGCATGGACAGTTTCCACGAGCTTGTCGTTCATATCGTCCACTGCATTGCAATCTTCTAGGCACTGGAAGCGGTTACGTAACTCGAGCTGAAAGGTTTCGGGATTCTGGATTAGAGCACGAGGGGGACGGAGCGTTGACTTCATTAGACGAGACCTCTCCAACTTAACGTTTAGGTTCAGTGTGCCTCTAACCATTCGGTGATCGCTGCCAGTTTTCACCCTTGCGATCACTGAGACATCACTGAACAGTTGGCGTCTGGTCTTCATAATGAAGTCAATCTCATTTTTTGTCGAACCGTCGGGGCTCGACCAGGTCCACTTCCTGTGGGGCCGCTTCTGGAAGAAAGAGTTCATCATAAAGAGTCCCTCTTTCTCCATAAAGTCGGCCAGCTGCTGGCCCCTTCGGTTCCGTTGCCCTACTCCAAATTTCCCTACCTTCAGCTCACCGCTTTCTCTTGTGCCCAGTTTTGCGTTGAAGTCTCCCATCAACACCGTGTAGTAGGTTTTGGAGGAATGTATGGCTCTGGAAATATCCTCATACATTTCCTCCACCTACTCATCGGGATGTGCCGAGATTCACTCTATTCCCTTAATTATTATTATTATCTATTATTTTTAATTTTAAAATTATTATTAAAGATTAGCCTTAAAGATGTTTAACAAAGGTGAATTAGAAACATTTATTTGTTCATACAGCAGTGCATTGTTACCATTATTATTTTTTAAATCTCCAACTGTTCCATCACACACAGCCGCAGCCCCTTATTACAAGTATGTAAGACTTCAAAGGAATGGTCGCTAGCTAGGTTGTGTCCAGTGTCCAAGGGATGTTTAGCAAAATGGGGTTTATCAGGATCGCAATTTCTATACGCGGCCAAATGCTCTCTATAGCGCGTCTCGAAATTGCGATCAGTCTGACCCACGTAAACCCTTAAATCTTTATTATTAATCTATATTTTTAATAACAATAATAATATCAATATATCAATAATAATAATAATAATATTTAAAAATATTAATCATAACAATAATGATAATTAGTCGCAGGTTCGTTATCGCACGGCGCGGTCACTCGCTACTTTGGTGGGGAGCGGATGTGTCGGCGTGTATAAATAGCAGCTGTTATAACAATTCGGCTCGCCGCTCACTTAGCGGTCAGCCGCCGTAGAGTCTACGTTAACTGAGGATGCCTCGTCTAGAGGCGAAACACGTGTCGTATTATCGTCGATGGTGTGTCTTACCTGGAATAGTGGTGTTGGAAGTAGTGGTGCTGGGACTAGTTGAGGAGAGTTAATGAATAGGGCGGGAGGCGCTCTTCTCAGGTAAGACAATCATTGTATTTGGTACGGAAGGTGCGAGGTAATTTATATATTTTTTTTGACCATGTAGTGATGTGTTGCTGTGTCTTAGCTGGAATAGTGGTGTTGGAAGTAGTGGTGCCGGGAGTAGTGGTGTTGGGAGTAGTGGTGCTGGGACTAGTGGTGACGGAGTTAGTGCACGCAATTGAGGGAGGGCGGAAGGTGCTCTTCAATCCAGGTAAGACACATCATTGTATTTGGCTAGCGGAAGGTTGCGAGGTAATTTCTATTATTTTTTATTATAATGGATTTCCGCAAAGTAATGCCTGATTCTATCAATTATCTTACATGGTCTTATTTCAAAAAATGTTATAGTACTGGTTTCAACCAAGACTAAAGGATCCAGGTTTGTTACACTATTAACGTAAAATCAAAATGTGTGTTTGTAACAGCTTTCGACGTTACCATCAAAACAATATTGATTGCGTCAGATTGGCAAGGTAAAAAAGCCTGACAAATGGTTGCCCAACGAACTTAATGATCGCCAGCGCGAAGTACGCGTCGAGGCGTACCTTGCACTACTCAGGAGGCACATATAAACGAATGAATTTAGAACCGCATTGTTACCTGCGACGAAAAGTAGATTCCATTTGACAATCGCAAGCGCTCAGCAAGTTGGTCGGATCCTGGTTCAGCACCTAAATAATGCTCCTCTAAACGAAAACTTACCCTTAGAAAAGATGATGGTCACTGTTTGGTGATCCAGCGCCGGTGTGATTGGTGTGATTCATTACAACTTCTTATCAAACGGGATGAGCATTACTGCAGATGTGTACTGTGAAGAACTAAACACAATGATGGAGAAGCTCGCACGTCTCCAACCAGGTCAATCGCTCGTCTACGCTGCTCTTGCACAACAACACGCGACCTCATACTGCACAACAAACGGTCTCCAAGTTACAAGAGCTGGGTTTCACCAGACCTTGCGCCTACAGACTTCTACTTTTTCCAGAATTTGGATAATTTATTGGCGGGAAAAAACTCAATACTCGAGAGGCAGTACAAAATGCCTTTGAAGAATTTGTTGCCTCCCGTCTAGCTGATTTCTTTAACCTAGAGGAGAGCGCTCTGCGGACTGTACTCACTGAGATGCACTTGCAGCTGCTCGGTCTTCTCCCTGGTGACGCTCTCGGGCAGTTTCTCGAGCGGCACCACGGCAGTCTTGCTGATGAGGTGTGTGAGCGCGCGCTGACGCTCATCGCCGGAGTCAGGGCGCCGCTTGGCGCGCTCGGAGCCAGATGACGAGTCCCACTCGTCCACGCGGAACTCGTCCGAGCTGTCCGCCATGTGCTTGCCACTCGACTTGTGCATCTCCTATGAATTCACAATTCTCATTATGACACAATATCCTCGTTAAAGACCAGATGACTGCTCCTCTTATCGCCCAAAGGCTAAGTATAGCTATTTAGTAAGAAAACACACTCAATGATCTTGGTACTGTACCGCGGGGAACAAAACAAAAACATTAATTCGTTTTAGTTTTATCATTAAAAGTATGAATGGAAAGTACGAAAACTATGACAAAAATATACTAATAATCCAAACAAAACATTTTATAAATAAACTAAAACTAGTTTTGTGAGCAGGAGATGAAGAGTAAAATGAAGATTAATTTGAAAAATAAGCCGTTAAACTATTGCTAGTTTTCTTAACTACTTTTGGATACTCGGAATTAGCTTAGGAGTATTAAATTACTTTCGGAATTTAAAATCTTATGATATTGCAAATTACAATATTAAATTAGTGCCGGAATTATAAACCTTATATTGGGTATAACTGTAATGAATTAGTTTTGAAATCGAAACTTTCCGATATTACATTATGGATACCTTTCGATATTGTATATTACAGGATTAAAAAAGGAACGAAATTAAAAATCTTCCGAATTTGCATATTACAGCATTTAGTTAGTTAGTACAGTTTTAAATTAGTTACGGAACTGAAAATTTTCGACAACATTACAGTATTAATTTATACGTGGTAGAGCCACGCTGCAGCTATATTATAGTGGAAACACGAATGGGTCAGCTAGACCCTGGAAGGATCACGCTCTCACAGAATATATAGCTGCTTAATGCTGTTGTGTTTTGTACGGTGAGTGTAGAGAACCGGAGACCTGTTTTATTGGAATCGGGAATTTCATCTTAGTCCTCAAGGGTGACAACGCATCTGCATTTGATTCTTAATCGAGGTTAAATGTAGATGTCTATGGACCACAACATCCACTTGCCATCAGGTGGACGGTGTGCTGAAAAAAAATCCCGAAATCGAAAACCGTCGGATATTGCATATTAAACTATTAAATTAACTACGGAATTGATTACTTTCCAATATCACATATTACCGCATTAAATTAGTTTCAAAATTGAAAATCTTCGAATATGCATATTACAGTATTAAATTAGTTTTGGAATTCAAAACCTTCGTGTATCGTAATATCACATAATTAGTTCCGGAACTGCAAACCTTAGGATATTGCATAATAAATATTAAATGAGTTTTGAAACTAAAAACTTTCGAATATTACAAATTATAGTATTAAATTAGTTCCGAAATGACAATATTACGATGTTGCATATTACAATAATATTTAGCAATCAAAGCGTTATATTACATACCGTCTTGATGCGGTCGGTCTACGGAAATACAAAGTTAGCGAATGCACAATTTATTCTTAAGTTCAATTTTTTTTTTTTTTGTAGAATAATGGCGACAAACGACCACACAGTCAACCTGGTAGTAAGTAAACCTTGTGGCCCATATCTACATTTATCCTCAATTAAGAATCAAAATGCAGATGCTATGTAGCACCTGAGGACTAAGATGGAATGTCTCATTTTCAGTAAAAAGGGTTTCCGGTACTTTACACACACCATCGAAAACAGGAACATCAAGCTGCTGTTTTACGCTGGTATTCTGTGAAAGCGTGGTCCTGCCCCGGTCGGGCCGAACCATTCATGCCACAACCATAATATAGCTGCAGCGTGGCTCACCATGTATATTACAGTATTAAATTAGTTCTGGAATTGAAAACCTTCCGATTTTGCATATTACAATATCAAATTAGCTTTGAAATTGAAAACATTCCGGTATTGTACATAACAATATTTAATTAATACCGGTATTTAAAAGCTTCCAATATTGCATATTACATTATTAAATTAGTTTTGGAGCTAAAAAGATCCCGATATTGCATATTACAGGATTAAATGAGTTATGGAATGAAAACCTTTCGATATTGTATATTACAGTATTAAATGAGTTGTAGAATGAAAACCTTTCACCAAACCTTTATGCAATATCGCATATTACAGGACTAAATTAATTCCGAAAGTGAAAATCTTCCTTAATTGCATATTATAGTATTAAATTAGGGTGGTCTCTCAGAAGCCAAAATACGAAAATAAATCATTAATCTTTTAAGTTTGTATATTAAGCAAGCTAATATATTGCACTGCAATATTTCACTGCTGCTATTACACTGCATTCGCAACTGCACATTAATATTTAAAATACAGATACATTATATATAAAAAATATACATTAATAGCTTTTTCGCTTTGCCATATACATTATACACTCCACGGATTATTGAAAAATAAACATTAAGAATCATTCAAAATAGGATATTTTACACGGTGTAAAAAACAATAAAGAATATGTATATATGATAGATTTTGTAAAAAGTAAACGAGAATTATAGAATTGCATTATAAATTTTATATTTCAATTTTAAGATTATTTTCTTTTGCATGTGCCTCAAATCTGCAAAACGCTGCCCGCCATATTAGAACATGTTGTGACGTCACTGATACCATCTAAGGGTTTTAGTGTTCTGTGTCACTGATTAGGAGAACTAGCTAATGCGCTGTGTTATTTCGAAAATGTTTAAGTTATTAGTACGGTTATTGAGTTTTATTCCGAATTTTATGGAAAAGGCATCATGGAAGACGAATTCGTAAAAGCAGAAAGTACTAATCTACCAAGGATAGATAAATTGATGGTGGCAAAATTTTTTGCATGCAATCGCAATTTTTGTTCTGCTGAGTTGAGGAATGTTAAAACATCAATGTAAGTACCAATTACCAACTTTTGTTTATACCAACACGATACCAGGTCAGTGTATTTTAATAAAACATAGTTTAGTAGCTATCATAGTTTAGTTTATCTATAATTACAATCATTAGTTATAATACCTAAGTTACCGTAATTTATTACAAAATTTGACTTGGGATACCCTTCACCTCATGATGTTTTGTTTTGTATAAACGATAGTTAAATATAAGTCATACTTGCATCAAAATGGTCTTCACAGAAGAATAGTCTAGTTTTTGTAGACAATGTATTCGGATATCTTCTTGCCAGTTTTAACCAAGTATTTCTTAAATTTAAATCAGTTGGCACTTGAAATTCTTATGCTCGTATTTTTCCATTCAGGCACAACACAACAATGACATGGATGATAACTCATTATTAAACATTACAAAGTATCTTATTCCTTTGCAAAATCCGCAAAATTCTTAGACAGTGACGTCACGAGGATTTCAGCATGGCGGCTAGCGTTTTCACGCGAAAATTTAAAACGATAGATCAAAAGTAGTTTTGGCACTATTCGGTTCAAAAAAAATGTACAAAAATTATAGTGGTTCATTATCACTCTAGGATTCATTTAAAACACTTTTAGAAAATGGGTGTTCCTAATACCCTATTCACAGCTAATTCATTCAATTTCTCGGGAATTATTTGTTGGCAAAATTTTAAAATTCTTTGACGACATTGGCTTTTTCCTCTGGGTGACTGTTAGACTAGTGCTATTCCTGTAAGATGTACCATTATGTATTTGATATTGGCAGTATAAACTTAATCAATAAATGATGTTTTTATTTAACACGTTCACTGTCCCATTTTCAGACACAATAGTAAGACAATAGCAATCAACTATATGTAGTACACGGGACAGTATTGATGTAGTTGTAACACATATTCCGTATTATGCACTTATATACTCCTTCTCCATATAAACTTTAACTATATAACATATAGAGATCGCAGTGGTACTCACGTCTTCGGACTCCGTATTGGGCATTTCGGTGTAGTCGATCTTGCGCTGGCGCGTGCGGTGCTTGGGTGACCAGTCGTTGGAGTAGTCGTTGGACTCGTCGAGGCCGCCGTACAGCACGCGCGCGCGCACCACGTTACCCGCCGCGTCGTACTGCGTCAGCTTGTCGCGACGCTTGCGCGACTTCGACCTGCGCCTAAGCACTTCTAATGTCGGATTTGGATCACAGCGGCCAGCCTCAACAGAGACTAGCCATCTGCTTAGGACGAGACTAGACATGTGTCAATCGTGAACGATTCGGTCATTTGACCCGGATCGCGGATTGACGTTATCATTCCCATGATGTTCTTAGTAGTTGTCGGACGTAGTGCTGACTTCCGTTCGTATGGACAACAAACAATAGCATAACGAGATATTACAAAGAGAGATTATGACAAAGAACAATAGTTTAAATAAAAAAAGGATAATTGTATAATAAACTGCGCTAGCGAGTCGCGACCGACTAAAAAGTCCCTAGTGAGAGAGCCGAATGGTTCTCACAGCCGCAGAGTACTAAAGCCCGAAATGATCCATTTAAATCATCAACCCGAATAACCAGGTTTGTGTGACAAATCAGCGTCTACCTATTAATGACTAAAATAAAAACAGCGTTTGACCACCCGCTTGCCAAGCGTGGCAACTGTGGCAAATATCTATATTTAAATCAAATATATAAATATATGCTGCAATCTATGGGGACTGGATTTGTTCGTTTGCTTTGACAAACCAACACTTGAACGATCGAGTCAATATAGTCAAACAAATCTAAGAAATACATTTTGACAGTTGTCAGACTTATTGCACCAAGCATGCCAACTAAAATATGGGAATGTACAATATACGATTCTAAAAAAAATCGATATCGGTTATTTAGAGTTGGTAATCATTTACAGTTTACAGTTTAGTTTGAATAATACCAAAATAAATTAATAACGGATAATTTAAAACACAAGATTTATCAGTTTCTTCGTATTTGTTGTTACTGCTTATTTCTAGAGGCACAGTTATAAAATTTAAGATTGAAACTAGATTAAAAATAAATTTATTCAATCACTTTCAGTACAACTAGTAGAGATGTCGCTGTTTATATTAATTATTATGTGATTTTCAATAACACAGTCAAAATTAATGTCTCTTTCAACGTCATCCATAATCAATTTTTTTGTTTTTTCTACCACTTTTGCCCAATCATCCTTTGTGACATGGGCAAATGCTTCAACGAATTTATATTTTTTATAGCATTGGGTGATAAACGAGCACACAGTCCACCTGATGATAAGTGAATGCTATGGCCTATAAACATACATATTTATCCTCAATTAATAATCAAAATGCAAATGCGTTGTCACCCCTGAAGACTAAAATGGAATGCCTCGATTCCAGTAAAAAGGATCTCTGGTTCTCTACATTTACCATACGAAACACAGCAGCATTACGCTGCTATTTAACGCTGGTGTTCTGTGAGAGCGTGGTACTGTCCCGGTTGAGCTGACCCATTCGTGCTACAGCTATAATATAGATGTAGCGTGGCTCTACCGCGTACAAAAAGTTATTATAGAGGAAACAGTCCAAAAAGTTAAAGCCGAGTCACAAAATAAGAAGACAAACACAAAATCACAAAATTACGCACAGTAAGCTCTCGAAACAGAAACAGAAACTTTTTTATTCAATATAGATTATGAATAATACTTATTGAAAGTCACTTTTTTCATTTACGTGGTACAGCCATATATTCTCGTGGTAGAGCCATGTGAAAGCAAGATATGATAGTATTAATGCTTGTATTTCGTATTATTGGAGGAGGTTTGCTACGGGATTTTGGCCCAGAACATTTAGGTGGATGTGTCTCGTTTGTAGCTTCTAAAAAAAAATTTACACTGGTTCGTAAAACAAACCTCTGTCCTAGGTAGAACCAGCAAGAAACCCAACGGGACTATTTACTTTTAAATAAGAGCTTACAATCATGCGTGTTACAATTAACTAAACAAAACAAATCAGAAATAGTTTGGTAGCGATCACCCTTCCCAGGGGTTATTATCATCCATAAATTCCTTAATATTAAAATAACCCTTTTTATGCAAACTTAGTTTAATAAAGTTTTTGAACTTTGTGTACTTACGTCAAATTTTGTATATTTTCTGGGATTTTGTTGTAAAAGCGTATACACCGCCCCAAGAATGAATTACCGACTCTGTGGAGTCGAGTAACTGGTACCGAAATGGCGGGATATTGAAATTATACAGTGGTTATTTTAGCACGGCCGTGTATATGATTTTTTTTGTCTACAAAAATTTACTTTCTCAAAGTAAAAAAATAAACTTGTTTTATTCGTGATTAAAGTAATTTAAGGAATTTTGAAAATAAAAAATTAAATTAAACAAATAATACATTAGAAAAATTTATGATTCATTTATTTGAAAACTTTTACCGATTATTTGAATATTTTACCGATTATTCGCATAACAATCAATTTTAATCATCCAAACACTACGGTAATATACATAGCGACATATCATTGAAACGACGTCAAGTAAAAAAAGTTAATACTGGTTATTTTTTAATATCTTGCTTTGTTTGAAAAAATCAAATTTAAATTAGTGATAAAAACTATACACAATGTAATGAAATATAGATAACTTCATAATTCTTCGGATTTACGTAAAAGGTTATTTTAAATCGTGTGAGTACGCTGGTACAAAGTTATTGCGGAATGATTAATGTGAAACGTCAAAAGGTATTTCTTAGATTTCAAATTCAAATGTGTATGTGATACTCATTGGCAACCTCGACACTCGTACAGGATCCTAGTTTAACTGTAAGTATTGTAATGTATGAAGGGCCTCACAGACGTAGTTTATTTTACAAAGGGCTATTATCCGCAACTTTTTTTATAGAATAGGAGTGACAAACGGGCACACAGATACGCAGGTAAATTGTTTTCTCTGAGCTATTCTATTTTCCATAAAAAATAAAAATCCAAATATATACGAGAAGCTGATATTTTATGCCGGTATTCTGTGAGAGTGTGGTCCTACCCCAGTCGAGCTGACCCATTCATGTTACAACAATAATGTCCTGTTACATAGAATAAGGGTGACAAACGAGCACACAGTCCACCTGATAGTAAGTGGTTGTTGTAGCCCATAGACATCCACATCTATCCTCGATTACGAATCAAAATGCAGACGCGTTGTCACTCGTGAGGACTAAGATGGAATGCCTTCTTTCCAGTAAGAAAGGTCTCAGGTTCTCTACACTCACCATACCAAACACACGTACAAACATCACGTAAAAATCCAAAACCACGTCCCAAGTGCGTATTTTGCGTGAGGGACACAAGCTGTATAAATAATGGCGACCCAATTCCCAGCCCTATTTGATCCATGATGGTGTTGTTCAGTATTTGACTGCCTGTGCTGATCAGCATAGGCAGTCAAATACCGAATGCAATAGCATTGGTATAGCAATAGCAAATAGCATCCTTGGTCGGGCCTGAATCAGTAATTGGAATTTTCTGTAAAGAATTTCTCAGTGGCAGTCTGGAGTCAGAAGTTAGCAATGTTGTCAAGTTTTAAAGTTTTCTCATTTCAGGGAAAACTGTATTTAAATAAAGCGATTGAAGCGACAGTAGCCTAATGGCAGGGCGCGGACCGCGAACTCAAAAAGGTCGTGGGTTCGAATCCGTTATTCGGCTTCTGGCGTGAACCACTCGTAACACAAGCAATTTAAGCTTACCACGAGTGGTTAAGGGGAATATTAGTAATGTTTATAGCATTGTTGATATTCTTTAAAAAAAAATAATATGTACATTTAAAATTCAAATAACATTATTATATACAAGATTTAAATGTTATTTTATTTACCAATTAGTACACCTTTATTTATGGCCTTTTGTATTAGACAGGGGTTTTTGCCATGCTGTAGAGAGATGTTTTATAAGACATCGTATGCGACAACGCATTAAAAAAGAATAATCAATCATATATTTTTCCGCCTTAACTCACCTTGAGAATCAAAAAATGCTACAGTTTTTTGTAGTGTTTAATTAATCCAATCTTATAAGTTTATGTGTGGGTACTGCAAGTCTACAACAGTTATGTGATCTAAACAAGCAAGCAGACTAAGCTCTGCAGCTTATGTTGTTAAAAAGATTAGAGATCTCACTAGAGTCGAGACGTTACTAGGGCACACTGAAACGATCGGGAATAGAATATTTTGGATTGAGCTACAATAAAACCTTTTTTAGTATTTAAATACTGGCCTCTTAGAATCTTAATGACATTCAAACAATTAAAAAAAAAATGTTTTAAAACAAAAACTATGTCGGTTTAAATTTACCACGTCTTGACAGAAATGGAGCCCACGCGTGAACATTTCCGTGCCATAATTTATCACAATTTAGTGGCGGCTTATCTCAAGATAAATGTCTCAACGAATTTGTTTCGATTTATGATGTTGAAGCACCGAGTCAAACGACAATATCAGCTGGTATGCCGAGTTCCAACGCGGTCGTGTGTCGCTCAGCACTGTTTCTTCTGCAGGTCGACCAAGAACAGCGGTCACGCCTGAAAACATCGCAGCTGTGCGAACTATTATATTAGGTGACCGTCATGTGACATACGAGCAGATTCGGGCTGTTATCAGTATCGGAATGACTGCAATTCAGTCGATATTACATAATAAGCTGTGTGTAAGAAATCTAGTTTCCGCTGGGTTCCCCACAATTTGTCCGAAGAGCAAAAGGTGGCTCGTGTAGATTGGTGCCGGAATACTCTGCAACATTTCAACGGAGGGAAGTCAAATGCTGTTTCTAATATCGTCTCAGGTTACGAATCATGGATTCATTCATACGAACCTGAAAGAAAACATCAGTCAGCAGTTTGGGTCTTCGAAGACGAGGTCAAACCAACGAAAGTGGTTCGCTCCCGCAGCGTGTCAAAGAAAATGGTCGCTACGTTTGTCTCGAAAAAGGGGCATGGTGCTACAATTCCTTTACAGGAACGCAGAACTGTTACCGCTGAGTGGTAGGTATATCACGGTTTGTTTGCCAGAAATGATAGCCGAACTCCGAAAAAATAACCCGAAACGTCGCATCATCTTACATCACAATAATGCGAGCTCCCATACGGTTCGGAAGACACAATGATTTTTGAAGCATGAAAACGTTGACCTGATGAGCCATCCTCCATACAGTCCTGACCTGAGCCCAAACGATCTTTTTACATTCCCTAGAATGAAAGATTTATTACGCGGTCAGCGGTTTGAAGACCCCGAAGCAGCTGTGGAAGTGTACAAATCAGCCATTTTGTCAATATCAACTTCAGACTGGAATTACTGTTTTAATGATTGGTTTGCACAAATGGAAAAGTGCACTAAGTTGAACGGAGAATACTTCGAAAAACAATAAAATACATTTTAGCTATTACAGCATGTACATGTATATTAAAATGTACATGTATATGTACATTTTAGCTATTGATAACATTTCAATTAGTTCCATAGCATAATGTCGTATGCGATTTTATGCGGCTAATAAGAGCTTTTTACAACCTAAAACCGAGTCTCTTAGAGAAAAATGTAAAGAAATAAATATATTAACTTTGGCCTCCCAGTATATTTACGAAAATTTAATGTATGTACACAAAAACAAAGGTAATTTTAGTGAAAAAAGGGATATACATTCTGTAAAAACTAGGAACAAACACAATCTAGTGATACCAGTTTCTCGACTCCACAAAGTCAGTACATAATTCATTTTTGGGGCAACGTATACGCTATAACGACAAAGTCCCAGAAAATATACAAGGTCTCCCTATTACCAACTTCAAATATTAAATTAAATAAAAACTGTGTAACAAGGGTTATTATAATATAAACGAATACATGGTTGATAATAACCCCTGCGAATAAGGTGATCACTTCCAAGCTATTTCCAAAATAATTTTTTTAAATATCTGGAACCATTCACATTGTAAAATTTATTTAAAAAAAATGTCCCGCTAGGTTTCTTGCTGGTCCTTCCTAGGACAGAGGTTTTTTTCCGAACCAGTGGTGAAGTAAAAAATTACTTTCAATAAGAATTTCATGTAATCTATATTGAATAAAAATTATTATATTCTATTATATTCTATGGACACAGTTTAAAGGACTAACAGTTGTGAAACGCCGTTTATGTCATTCGATGCCGCCGGCTGCGTAGGTATTTACTATTTATGTTGTCGTCGCAAATGTGTTAGGGGTTGTCACGAAATTGGGAATTAAATAATTTTGAATAATGTAAAAACATTATATGAACATGATGATTTTTTATTACTACTTGCACTTTTGCACTTTTCGATTGTTAAATTTAATTATGTAGTGTATTAGCATTCAGAATAAACACTTTTATTAAAAAATGAAGGAAACGTAAACATAGCCGTAATTTGAATTCAACTTTACTTAGTAACTCAAATAACTATAACAGTAATTCACCATTGTATATATATTATATTTTTGGACTCAGTAAAGGCAGAAGAAGCGCCGCCCCGCAAGGCCCCCGCCGTTGCTCTGCTCAAGTACATTCGTTTCACAACTGTTGGACTCTCTCTAAACTGTGCTATGGATGCGTTGTACTCCTTAAAACTAAGATGTAATGGTTCTGTAATGGTAATCATACTGCATCTCCATATATACACCATATGTATTTTTACTGCTTCAGCAATTAAAATACTGGTCCTTCGGGCCTGACTAAACCAATTTAGTTTACGATCTAAAAAAAACTGAATATTCTTACTTTTTAGACCTTTCCTTGATGCCTGCAGATTCACCAGAACTGTCCTCGAATACCCCTTTCTTCTTTTTCTTAACCTCCGGGGACGACTCTACTAATTTATGTCGTTCTGTATAGTAGACAAATGTTATTCTTTTAGTACATTATAGAAAAGACTAATCTATAGTGTCTGCTGCAAGTAAAATTCAATAGTGTTTACCATTGTTACACAGAATAACATATTAGGTTACTCTGGATAGTTACGAGCTGAAGACGGTAACCACAATTAAAAAAACAATTGTGAAAAATAATGGCCCTTCATTTGGAAAAAAGAACAACGAAAACGTTGCTTTTTCCTATACAACCGAGTCATCCGAGTCCCATGTTGGGCAAACCAATTCAACCGTAAATTATGCGCGCACATTAAATGACTTCTGTTTTTGCTTCTGTTTGACATTGTCTAAATAAAACGGACACTAAAAATTGTAAACATTAAACTGTATGTAAGCACTCAAAATTGTGTTCAACATTATGTGATTGAAGGATATAATTACCTTTCTTATCCGATCTTCCTATCCGTCTAATAGGCAAAGAGTCGGAAGACCTGGATTCTCGTTCTGCTGATGAAGATATGTCTTCAGAAGACGTTTCCATGCTGGAAATGTATTTAAATAACTTACACTTCTCTCCATATAACTAACTTCAAACAAAAAATTGTCTATGAGACGCTGATGTCGATAGACGCTTATTTGAAAGTAAAATGACAAAGGAATTTACAGTCAAACCCTAAAAGTAAGGAGCTACTGTACTCTCTAACAGAATACCAGCGTAAAATAGCAGCATGACATGGAAACGAGGCATTCCATGTTAGTCCTCACGGGTGAAAACGCATCTGGATTTTGATTCGTAATCGAGGATAGATGTAGATGTCTATGGGCCTCAGCAACCACTTACTATCAGGTGGACTGTGTGCTCGTCTGTCACTCTTATCCTATAAAAAAGCTTTGTCATCATCACTTTGCTTTGTCACCTCTGAGGACTAAGATGGAATGCCTCACAGCCTGTTATTACTGGATCTCTACACCCTTCAGACAGGACACAGAAGTGCAAGCAATGATTTAGGGCGGCAGATATAGTTAAGGTGATGGATGGAACTTATCAAGATGGACTTCTAGACAAGAAAGGAGTCCCACCATTAAAAATTTTCTGCTTTTACAGATGTTAACTATATTTACTTTTAATAGTTGCTAATGTAGTATTAAAATGGTTTTGACTTCTCTTAATTTTTCTAATTAGGATATTCAATATTAAATTTTATTTAATATATTTTCTATTTTCTATACGGTTTCAAATGTTATACATATTTGCATATCAACAAACATCCTGATCCGATATATGAGTGCAAAGGTACGAAACTGGGATCTGTGACCACCAATCCTCCATACAACATAATACATATGCCCAGCGGTGGACTTTTTATAACACCAAAGCTATATTATGGTTGTAGGGAGGCCCACGCTCTCACTGAATATTAGCGTGAATTAGCAGCTTAATGCTGCTGTTTCTTATGATCAGTACAGACAACGGGAGATCCTTTTCACGGGAAATAAGGCATGTCATCTATGTCTTTACACTAGTGATTAATTGAGGATATATGTACATGTATATGGAGCACAGCATCCACTTATCATCAGGTGAACTGCATTCTCGTTTGTCACAATCACTTTATAAAAAAGTTTCAAACATCTAATTGTTTGTACCATGCTTTATTAGAAGTCCAAACACAAGAGACTCAAAGGGTTAAAGTAACAACTAGGTGGACTAAAAAGTTTTCAAAAAAAGAAACATGTTAAAGGAAAATACCCTGTGTCTTTAAAGTCTTCATCAGTCTCATCATCATCTTCAGACGGTACATCCAAAGAATTGAGCTTTCTTGGTTTACGTCGCTGTTTCTTCTTATGTTTCTTCGCCTCAACCGGTTTACCCTGTGGTATTATATTATGGTATTTAATTAATGTATGATTTAGTTGAAACTAAAGCTACAAAATATTTAAGAAATATTGTAATTACACTTAGACTTGTTATCTATAATGTTACATATCTGTGTACAGGGTGCCAATTTTTTTTTTAATTAATAGTATAGTAGAGTAACAAAATTTGCATTACATGTTGTCATGTTGCCAATATGTTGTGCTAATTATAATTAACCTGCTTTAGTTTCAACTTAAATGTTAAATTAAATTAAATGTTAAAGCTAATTAACCTGCTCTCGTGCCTCTCTTTCAGCCTTGAGTTTCTCTTCCTCAGCGGCTTCTATTATGGTGGATATATCCTTACCGCGACCCTGGTTACCCGCGCTGGTCGTCGGTTCCACGTATTCTTCCTATCAAAAATACGAGCACATTTATGGATTTGTATGAATTTAGAGAACATATTATTACCTTAGTGGCAGTGTAAGAATATTTACTGCTTCTTTGTCACGTGGGTGTTGTAAGAGGCGACAGAGAGAAATGAGTTGTGAACCCGCCTGTTACGTGTCCCATCTACGGCAAGTATCCTCTCAATGAGGTAATATGTGGATGAGCCCAGGCCTCTGTCACTCTTGCTACCTGCGTGAAATTACCTACAATCGCGAGTCACCCAGGGTGAAATACGCATTCGGGGCTAGCGCGTTGTAGGAGATTGAATGTTAAAAAATTTTAACGCTGTTTACGTAAATAATTTTTTGTAAATACTTGTTGAAATTGTTTTTGTTTAGTATTTAGTATATTCAATTGTAGGAAAATAAAATAGTTAAAATGGTTTAATGTAATCTAAAAATTATATATGTTATGTATATTACCCATCTATTTAATAAAATTTAATGGCAAAACGTCATTCCTACTGTAATTACTATATTACTTAATACTAGTGGTAGAACCACGCTGCAGTTATATTAGTAGTATAGTTGTAGCACGAATGGGTCGGCTCGACCGGGGAAGGACCACATTCTCACAGAATACCAGCGTCAAATAGTAGCTTAATGCTGCTGTGTTTCATATGGTGAGTGTAGAGAACCGGAAACAGAAACTTTTTTATTCAATGTAGATTATAACAATACTTATTGAAAGTCACTTTTTTCATTTACCACTGGTTAGCAAAAAAAACCTCTGTCCTGGGAAGAACCAGCAAAAAACCCAGCGGGAATTTATTTTTTCCAATAATAGCTTACAATCATGGTACTTAACACACAAGACAAATTAGAAATAGCTTGGTAGCAATCACCCTTCCCAAGGGTTATTATCATCCATAAATTCCTTAATATTATAATAACCCTTTTGACACAAACTTAGTTTAATAATATTTTTGAACTATTTGTGTATGACAAATTTTGTAAATTTTCTGGGATTTTGTTGTAAAAGCGTATACATCGCCCCAAGAATGAATTACTGACTCGGGGGAGTCGAGTAACTGGTACTACTAGCTTGTGGCTGTGCCTATTATTTACAGAATGAATATCACTTATTTTTGCAAAACTGCTTTTATTTTTATGTACATACATTTTCATAAATGTATTGAGAGGCCAGAGTTAATATATTAATTTCCTTAAATTTTTTTTTGTTTTTTATAGGATAGGGTGACAAACGAGCACACAGTCCACCTGATGCTAAGTGGTTGCTGCGGCCCATAGACATGAGAGGCCAGAGTTAATATATTAATTTCCTTAAATTTTTTTTTTGTTTTTTATAGGATAGGGTGACAAACGAGCACACAGTCCACCTGATGCTAAGTGGTTGCTGCGGCCCATATACATATGCCTCATTTCCAGTAAAAAGGGTCTCCGGTTCTCTAGCACTCACCATACGAAACACAGCAGCATTAAGCTACTATTTCACGCTGGTATTCTGTGAGAGCGTGGTCCTTCCCCGGTCGAGCCGACCCATTCGTGCTACAACTATACTACTAATATAACTGCAGCATAGCTCTACCACGTTTAATATAACTGCAGCATAGCTCTACCACGTTTAAACGTTTTTGTCTCAGTGACTCATTTGGTTTTAAATTATATATTGCTCTCATGGCCCTCTTCTGTAAAATAAATATAGTTTCAGTGTCAGTCGCGTGTCCCGATAGCAAAATACCATACGACATAATGCTATGGAAATAACTAAAGTAAACTATTCTAGCTGTTTCAACACTAGTAAGAGTTCTAATCTTTTTTACAGCATATGCTGCAGAATTAAGTCTGCTAGCTAGTTTTGATATATGAGGGATCCATTGAAGCTTTGCGTCTAGTGTGATTCCAAGAAAAATGGTGGTATCAACAAGACTCAGTTCCTCCCTATTTAAATTTACATTAGTATTAACATGTTGGACATTAGGAGTTACGAATTTCATACATTTAGTTTTAGTTCCACTTAAATGCAAATTATTAACATTAAACCAATTGACTAACTTAGCTATAGCATTATTTACTTCGTCGTAATTTAGTAACTGTCGTTTTAATTTGAAAATTAATGAAGTATCATCAGCAAATAATACTATATCATGGTTATCCCCTACTATGTATGGTAAGCCATTAATATATACAAGAAACAAAAAGGGGTCGAGAATTGAGCCCTGAGGCACGCCCATTTGTACAATCGTCCCGGAAGAACTCATACCATTAATGACAACTTTTTGCGTTCTGTCACTTAAATATGAAATAATTAATTTAAGAGCATCACTTCTTACACCATAGTGTTGAAGTTTCCTGATTAATGTTTCATGGTGAACACAATCGAAGGCTTTGGATAGGTCACAGAATACACCCAAAGAGTCCTGTGAATTCTCCCATGCATTAAATATATATTTAATCAGCTCAACACCAGCATCAGTTGTCGAACGATCCCTTGTGAAACCGAATTGATTTTATTAAGTAAATTATTTTCATTAAATTTTTTTTACATTTGATCAACAATAATTTTTCCAAAAATTTTACTAATTGTCGGCAGTACAGAACTAGGTCTAAAATTAGCGGGGGTCTAATGTACTACCAGATTTAAATAAAGATATTACTTTACTATGCTTCATTAAATCTGGAAACACACCAGATTCGATACTAGTATTAAAAATAATAGATAGTTGAAGTGCAATTGTATCTATTATAGACGCAATAACTTTAACAGAAATCCCCCACAGATCGGCGGTTCTCTTAATATCAATAGTCTTAAAATATTTTACAATATCTTTTGATGACACTTTATGAAATGTAAAGTTCTTTGTACACGCATTTACATTTTGTTCAAGTAATAATTCGGCGAAATGAGACTTTTTACTGGAAACGAGGCATTCCATCTTAGTTTTCACGGGTGACAACGCATCTGCATTTTGATTCGTAATCGAGGATAGATGTAGATGTCTATTGGCCACAGCAATCACTTACCATCAGGTGGACTGTGTGCTCGTTTGTCACTCAATCCTATAGAAAAAATTGTTCGATGGATAGACGCTAAATGACCTTTACTTGACCGTTGGCTAAATGACAAATGTTTCATTATTCTTTAAGTTACCGAAGGATTTTAGTAGGAAATTAAGAAACGTGAATTTATTTAATTTGTATTGCCAGATAGGTACTTACGTGGGACACTCAATAAGTTTTGAGATATACAAAAAGTAATCTAAATACTATTAATATTAATTTTACATCTTTTCAAAATATTCTCCTATACAGTTCTATTCGCCTAAACCAACCTGAAAACACTTTTGCCAGTCTTGATCTGACAGGTCGGAAATAGCTTCTTTGTAGGCAGCCACGGCTTCTTTGGCGCTTGAATAAAACTTGCCTTTTATTTTTTCTTTGACTCTTGGGAACAAAAAGAAATCACAAGGAGCTAAGTCAGGGCTATAGGGTGGGTGACTTTGAGTTTCAACAGCAAATGTCTCAATTAATTCTTTCGTTCTAAGGGAGGTATGTGAAGAGGCGTTATCGTGATGCAGCATGATTCCCCGAAGCCCGATCTTTGATCTTCTCTCCCGCACAGCTTGTAAAGCTTTGGGTAATGCAACTGTAGTATACCATTCAGAGTTAACTGACCTACAATTTTCCAGCATTGACGTCGACAAATATCCGCTCCGCAAATAAAAACTTGCTACCATTTTTTTTGCCGACGTTGCGAGGTCCTTGCAGTTTTGTCGGTAACTGTCCTTCAGAGTAGACCCATACCGATGATTACCTTTTATTTACACCATAATCGACCTCACACTTGCAACAGAAGGAGCAGCCAAACTAATTACGGGATGGCATGTGTCGAAAGAGGCCTCATGCTCAGACCATAGATGGATCTGCTTCGCACTACAGGTCGATATCCCCTCTACACCACCATGGAGAAATCCCCGCAAGACGGATAAAACAAAATACCTAAATAGGCTGACGTCTTCGCTCGGGGGTTTTGAGGGGATAAATACTATAGCAGATCAGTCGCTCCTAGAAGAACAGGTAGCAGCTGTTACTAAGGCCATGATAGATAGCTACCATGAATCATGTCCAGAAATCACTCCACCAAGGCATGCCGAGGTAAAGCAACAGTGGTGGGGTGAAGAACTCGATAGGAAACGTAAGAAGGTAAGAAAAGCCCTAAATAGGGCCATGAATACCTCAATGGATGAAGACTGGCTACTATATAAGAAAGCTAAGTCTGAATACAAAAAATGTATCAGGTATCGACGCTCGACTGGGTGGCGTAAATTCTGTGGCAACATAGAAACCTGCGAACAAGCAAATAGGATAAGGAATATTCTAGCTAAACAGAACACGTCGGGATCTATGTCTCTAAAGAAACCCGACGGTAGCTACTCAACATCGCCGGATGAAGCCCAACGCATCCTAATTGAAACGCACTTCCCAGGTTGCTGCGTAACCCAGGAGGCAAACCGGCATGACGACATACCGACACCAACAGTAGAAGACTGGAATTTAGCACAGAGAGTGGTAACGATGGACAAAATCCATTGGGCCATTCACAGTTTCCTCCCCTATAAGGCGGCAGGACCCGACGGCATATTCCCGGCACTCCTACAGTGAGGGGGTAAAGGCCTAATAGTCAGACTTGTTGCCATAATGAGAGCCTGTCTGGCTCTTAAATATGTTCCTAGGGGATGGAGGGAAGTGAAAGTCACATTTATACCCAAACCAGGTAAGAGCGATCACATTGACCCTAAATCCTACAGGCCCATTAGCCTCACATCCTTTCTCCTAAAGACGATGGACAGGATGTGTGAAAGGGAATTAAGGGGGTCGGCGCTAATGAACTTACCACTACACGACAAGCAACACGCCTACAGTCTAGGCAAATCAACAGAATCGGCACTTCATCAGGTAATTACAAAGATTGAAGAGGCCATCCAAAACAAAGAAATATGTCTAGGTTCCTTCATAGATATAGAAGGTGCTTTTGACAGAACGAACTTCTCCAGCATAAAAGGTGCACTCAGTAGACATAAAGTTGAACCGGCACTGATCGACTGGATAGTTTGCATGCTGAGTACACGAATAATAAAGATTGCTGGTGAATCTCAACCAATCCTAATTAAGAAAGGCTGCCCGCAGGGTGGGGTTCTCTCACCTCTCCTGTGGAATATGGTCATTAATGAACTCATCAGCAAATTAAATACTAATCACTTCTATACAGTAGGTTATGCTGATGACCTGACAATACTGGTCTCGGGAAAGACAGCAAGCATAGTGTGCGACCTGACCCAAGCGGCTCTCCGTATAGTGGAGAGATGGTGCAGGGAATACGACTTAACCGTCAACCCAAATAAAACGGTTTTAGTAATGTTCACACAAAAACGAATGCTGAATAACTATCATCTTCCAAGTCTTTTCAGCACAAAACTCCAGCTATCCTCTGAGGTAAAATATTTATGTCTTACCTTGGACAGCAAACTTAACTGGAATAAACACTTAGAAAACAAAATCAACAAAGCTAGTATAACTTTCTGGCAATGCAGAAACATGATTGGCAAAAGATGGGGACTGACGCCAAAAATCATACTGTGGCTTTACAAAACTGTAATTCGGCCCATGATCACATACGGTGCTCGGTATGGTGGACCAAGACAAATGAAGCCACCACAATTAAGAAGCTTCAGCGCTACCAGAGACTGGCATGTATGGCTGCCACAGGCTGCATAAGAACTACGCCAACAGCAGCCTTGGAAGCGATGCTGGAGCTAACTCCGCTTCATCTACATATACAACAAGAAGCTACTTTAGCTCATCAGACTCAAGACCCCAAATCTTTGGAGTAAGAATAGTGTCCCTCATACAGGCATAATTGATAGAATTCACTCAGAAATTCCTATCCTACAAGCCAAATACGATAGGATTCCTAAACAATTTGTTTTCGATAAGAAATACAAGATACAATTAAATGAAAACAGCCAGCCGGAAGGATTAAGCCCAAAAGAGCTTAGAGTTTTCACCGATGGTTCTAAAACAAATGAAGGTGTAGGTTCTGGAGCTTTCTCTGAAGACCTCAATATTCACATATGCACACCGCTGGGTACCTATAACACGGTCTTTCAGGCGGAATGTATGGGTATCATTCAAGCGGCCATAGCAATAGATGCTAGGAAGGTTAATTACTTCCCCATCAGAATACTGACCGACAGTAGGGCGGTACTACAAGCTCTGAGTTGCAATGGGGTGAACTCGGGACTAATATATGAATGCCATCAACGATTAAATGAGGTATGTAAAAACAACAATGTGACTCTGCAATGGATAAAGGGACACAGTGGATCCAGAGGCAACGATGCAGCGGACGAACTGGCCAGAAGAGGTTCGGCTCTGGCCACTATAGGGCCGGAACCAATCATACCATCCCCTTTGGTAACGTTCGTTCAATGGTACGTAGACACTTCACTAATCAACACGCTCAGCTTTGGAAAAATCTAGTAGACTGTAGACAAGCTAGGGAGGCCCTACCTGAAATAAACAGTCGCTTAACCAAAGTTTTAATGAGACTGAACAAGCCGCAGATCAGGATAGTAACAAGTGCTATCACAGGACACGGCACCTTTAACAAATATTTATTTACTATAGGTGTTACAGATAGTCCCCTGTGCAGGGCATGTATGGGGGAGGAAGAAACGGCGGCCCACGTGCTACTGAAATGTCCGGAGGTCGCTACGTACAGGGCTAAACATCTCGGCACGCCGAGATCACTCCCCGAAGTTGCAGGCAACCTCAAGGGACTGTTGAGCTTCTTCGGGGAGCTCTCATGGCTCGAATAATCACATTATTCCTGCCCACACGCAAAATACGCGCATAGAGGTGGAGTTGCGGAAAACAGCCCGTCGCAAACTAAACTGAACTACCTTTTATTTTCCGGATCATATTGATAGATCCATGTCCAGTAACGATTTCTGAAACATGCCTAGATGCCCAGTTTTCAAAACGTAGACGCATTTCATGGTACCAATCTATACGAGTCTGTTTTTCGCTTTCTGAGAGCAAACGAGGGATCCATCGACAACAAAGCTTCCTCACTCCAAGATGTTGATGTAGGATGGTTTGAATGCTCCCCGAACTAATGCCTCTTAATCTTTTCGATGACCGTATATGTGATTTGTGGGTCTTCTCGCACCAACATTTCAGTAGTCCACACATTTTTTGCCGTTACTGCTGTTTGCGAGGCCCTGGTTCTTTGGTCATCTTTAAGGTTAATTTTACCCCTTTTGAATTCAACAAACCACCTAAAAATTGTTGCGCGCGATGGAGCTGAGTCCCTTAATGCTGATTGTAACCGTTGTAATCATAATTGTTCGGTTAAACCACATTTAAAATCATAATAGATTATAGCGCGCAAATGTTCACGATTAATATCCACAGTTTTAAATGAAAAGCGCGGGAAGCGTTGCAGGAAAATTAATAGAACTTTGTTTTTTTTTTTTTTTTAATATCGAGCAATTGGCTTATGGAGTTCTATTTTTAAATAAATTTTCTTTTTTAGAAACATATAACACGGGTGCTTTCCATTTTTAGATTTCGAGCATCTCAAAACTTATTGAGTGACATATGTATAGCAAAAAAGAAGTAATAATTTATCTAATGGCTACGAACTTTATTACGAAATTTAGTTGAAATTTACTTCACTATCCAAATATCTACTTACATACATTAGTAAAAAAACTATAATATTTGTGTAACGTAATTTATGGATGGCCTTATACCTGATACTGGCAAAAGCACTACCCGTCATAGTCCATACTCAAAGCACAAGCAGTGTGCAGTTACCTTGATGGCGGAGCTGATAAGGCGGTCATACTCCTGCGCGCGGTAGCTGACGGGCAGCTGGCGGCGCGCGCGCAGCCGGTACACGGCACCCGACCACGCCGACGACCAGCCACCGCTGCCGCTGCCGCTGCCACTGCCACTGTCGTCTGCCACCACCGCCAAACACTTTCTTTTAGAACATTACTATACTAGCAATGCTATTAACATTACTAATATTCTTATTAGCCACTCAGGTAAGTTTAAAATGCTTGTTACGAGTGGTTTATGACCATAGAATACTATAATACATACATGATAGAACGGGGGTGTGGGCGGAGCCCGTGTAGACACTAAAATGCCACAAGACGTCAATTCACACGTATAAATGTCAACACGAAATATGTTTTGACGTTACAATCGTTTCCAAATTTCGCATACAAATTATTTAGAAAATGCAAAATTATACGCTATTTACAAATAAATATGTATTAAAATCCGTCTGTCAACTCAGCGAATCGGGTTTGTAGTAGTGATTAACTGATAATACGACGTAATTGCTTGTGTGTGTGTGCTCCCGGCGACGCCGAACCTCGGTACAAAATAAGGTTGACAGCCATTCTATTGTGTGTTATTGTGTTCAGAGAGGGGTTAAGATACTGTCGCATGTAGATGAGCTAATCATTTAGAGGCATATGTTCAGCAGCAGAATTTTGACAGGTCTCCACTTCTCTACACTCACCATACGATACATAACAGCATTAAGTCGGCATTCAGTGAGTGTGGCCCTACCCTGGTCAAGCAGACTCATTCGTGCTACAACTATAATGTCCTGCAGCATGCTTCTATGGGTCGGCCATTCGTGCTTCAACCATAAAATAGCTGCAGCATGGTTGTACCACGTCAATAAGAGAAAAGATTTAAAAAATTACAAATATCAATGTTCTCATTTCATAATAATATAGGATATTTAATATTTTAGAGTTTATCATATATTTATTATATACGTTTATTATTTGTATATTACATGTTGTATGTAACACTACTACCATATAATACTCGTAGTAGTATTTTTATTAAAACTTATTAATCACATCATATACAAAATTAAATCTTACAAAAATTTCGTCCTGTTTTGGGTTGTCAAGTAAAGAATGTCTTTCACACATTAATGGCAATGGCAAAAATTCAAAAATGGACAAGTAGGCAAGCAAAATTAAGTTTAATTGAACTAGAAATTTTTCAAAAATATCCTTGGCCAAAATATTAGCATGATTTTTTTATTATTCTTAATTCTGAAATTTCTGGAAAATTATCTTAGATGAAAAAAACTGACCTGATTGCTCATCAGATTTATCATCCAACTTATTGTCTGACTTCTCTTCTAATTTTTGGCCATCCTCTAACACAGGTTCATCATCAGCCTTCGTTAACTGCTCAATCCGGCTACGTTCTCGCTCTACTTCTACATTGGCAAGAAGTTGATCATATTTTACTAGTTCTTCCTCAAGAGCTGATATAAGCTTTTCCTGAAAAATACACAAGTTGTGTGACATTATATTTTTATTTATTCTTAGAAAGAGTGTACATTATTCACATTTTAAATTTTGCCAAACTGTAAGCCAGTTTGTCGGCAACGCAACAGTTTATCGTTTCAGACTCCTTAATAACAATATCTGGTACTTATAAATACTTAAATTAACACATAAATAATTAAAGAAACATTTACCACTGTGGACACAACGCCAGATAATGTTTCCTCAAGATGGATTTGAACTACGACTTAGTTACGCTTTTATATAATAAAATTTGGTATGTCAAATGTCATTTTTGTCAAACCTACCCTTTTGAAATGAAATTCCTCCGACCGGTGAATAATCGGCGAAAGAAACTTTACAGGTTTTCTCTTTTGTGACGTTTTTAAGTCATTATCAAAAGTTGAGTATATTTGAACATGAAATTGTTTTTCTGCCGCCATTTTGAAAAGATTTGTCTGAGAAGCAAGGAATGGTCGACCGAAATGGTGGGTATGGCGAGACTAGTTACAAATGCGGATATGGATCTTCAGCCCAGAGCAAGCACTGCTATTCGACGCCAGAAATAAGTAAAAAAAACCTACACAGGCGGACTTTTAAGCAGAAAAGGAGTTCTACCATCTAGTATCGAGTAGCAGCCTAGTACTCGTGGCAAGAGCAATGTTGGGTTTTCTCTATTAGAAGGAGTGGCAACCAGATAAAACATACTACGAATCAATGGATGTAGGTGGCCCAGGACCTAGCTTTGTGGCATTGGACTACTATAGGACCATAGGTCGCTGGTTCAAATCCGGCTCGAAGGAACAAAAAAAATGTAGAATTTGTCTACACTTTTAATATATAAAATGATACTGATAATAAATGATAAATAACGACGTGTCGCTACGGAACGTATTTCATTAAACTACACAGTAACCAGTTATGTCGCGACAACACGTCAGTTGCTGCTGCTGTCTACAGTCGGCTACGGAATTGTACCTTTACTTTTCTACTTTTGTAGAGGACATTGGCAATGAGTTGAATGTATAATATCTTGAAGTTGGAAAACCCAAAAAACAGGCTAACTATTTAATATTATATTCTGTAGTTATTTATAACACACAAATATGGACAATCATCCAAGTCTACGCGCCGACTGAACAAGCTGAAGAACTACTAGAACACAAATCCTTTTACAACCGCACCACTTTCTGCATTTGAGCCCGGAGCGGTCCGTCACGGAGTTCCAGTCGCCTCAGATGGCCAAGCCCAAGAGGCTAACTGGAATTAGCCTATTCGCAGAGACGACTACAGGAATAATTTTGGTCGGTAGACCACCCCACGTGTCGGTCACCTCGTGATCCAGGTCCAGATATTTTGTTTTCTTATTTGATTAGGCTTTCACTAGGTTCTCGTCATATGGAATGGTAATGTCGACCAAAAATATCCTTGACTATGCCCGGTCCATCAGCACAATATTAGGTTTATTCCCAAGAATAGTTCTGTCCGTGATGGCCCGGTCCCAGTAGAGCCGGGCGCGGTCATTTTCGAGCACGGCTTCCAGTAAGTACTTATAATAAGGTAGTTTCCGATCCACGAGACCGTATTTCAGAGTGAGCTCCTAGTGTAGAATCCTGGCTACTAGGTTGTGCCTGTGCAAGTACTCAGAGTTAGAAAGCGCCGGACAACCGGAGATAACATGCCTAAGTGACTCACCGGGATGGCGACAAGCTCGACAGACGTCGACGGTGCCATCCTTTAGGATGTATCTCCGATAGTTGTTGGTCTTAATAACCTGATCCTGTATTGCACAGACAAAACCCTCGGTTTCCCCGAAGAGGTCACCGAAACGTAGCCAGTGGAGGGAGCGACTGAATCTACGAAGGGCTCATGTAGAACCCTGTAGTACCTTCCGTGGAGCTCTTTCTCCTTCCATACGGTCTCCCGGTCGGAAATGCTTTGTACTGCTGGGTCCTGCCATTGCTCGTTGGCTAAGGATAGAGGAGTAAGCCCTTTATCACTAGAAATGACGTCATTATAGAATGGATCATCCGATCTCGTCAGGAAGTAATGACGGAGGCTGCACACTTCGCGATTATGCATGGTGAGAGCGCTCAGTAAGCCACGCCCACTATGCTTTCGCGGCAAGTACAGCCTCATTACCGACGATCTCGAATGATGCATCCTATGGGACGTCATGGTGGTGCGAACTTTTTTATCCAGGGCGTTAAGTTCAGTCTGAGTCCACCTGAGTGTGCCAAAGGTATACATGAGGACAGGCATGACCCAACCGTTATATGCATGTGTCTTATTCACACCGGACAAAAGACTGTTAAGCACTTTGGTCAAGCGTACATAAAACACGTCGCAAACTGACTGTTTCATACCAGCCTCATCGAAACCGATTTTCTGTGACACACCCAGGTATCGGTATGTTTCAGCCTCGGAAAGGGTCCTTAAGTTGATGGGCATAGATAAGTCTATGCCCTCAGAGTTAGCAACCCTTCCCCTTTCAGCATGGAGAACTGCACATTTATCCGTCCCCAGCTCTATTCCAATAGAATTGCTAAATTCACAAGTGGTGTTTAGCAATTCCACAAGATGGGTTCCACAAGATGGGAGAGCGACTGGAGGCGAATAACTTGAGGTGGGTTACTTTTGTACCTCCTTTCCGAAGCTGAAAGAAAGAGGCAGAACTAGATTGGACTCAGACAGTTGCCCTGGAATATATCCCTTCTTATCCTTATGCGGCTTTCTGCAGCCGTCATCCGCTCGCCTAGATGACAGTGGATCATACTCCACTGCCCCATACACTGCTTGAGGAAGTCTCGAACTGTACAGTCAGTCTTGTACAGCTCTCATACCTCTTTAGCCATGTATGGGGCACCGAGTCAAATGCCTTTCTGTAGTCTATCCAGGCAGCGGAGAAGTTCCGCCGGTTGCGTTTCACCACTTTGCAAATGACCGCGTCAATGAGGAGTGGTTCCTTGGTTTTATTATTATTAATATCTATAGTTGCAAGGGATACTGTTCCCCTTGCAACTACAAAATGTGGTGCCTTCAATAGCCACTAAAGAAAGAACAAACTGAGAAACAACACCAGAGCACTCACATGGTTGCAGGGCGGGCAGTACCAGTCACCTTCAGGCACAAGCAGCAGCATGGGCTTTAGGCAACTGCCATGATATCCCGCGTCGCATTTATCACACAACAGGATCCATTCTGGCTGCTCGCCGCTTCCACAGCGTTTACAGAAGCCGTCGTCTTTTCCTGGAATTTTAAAAAAATTATATGAACAATTAACAATACAACTTTTGGGAAAGAAGGTTTTTGCGTGGTACCCTCGCCTAGTAGTGGCTGACACATTATATATGGGACTACTCAAGTCTGAATTCGACGGCGACCTCGCTTAGTTATAACAAATAATAATATCAAAGAATAAAAAGAAAAGAGAATAATGAAATTACAAGAGAAAATTTTATGCCCCTTTTTAAGAATTATTGGAGTGTGTGATTTGGCATAGTTAAAGTCTATAGGAGTGAAGAAAGCTTAAATTTATATATAGTTTGTAAAGGTAATATAGTCTAACGGTGGTTAATATAGCGCATAGCACCATATTATAGCACGCTATGTAAGTAGTCGCCAAGGCGCTACAGCGATATGGCGCTTTGGCACTATTAAGTATTAATATCTAGCGGCAACTAGTTCTAGCAGCAGCGCTGTTAAGAGTGGACGTGTGACATAAATTTGATCTAGTAGCACGCTATTCTTCGCGGGCGATCTAATTTAACGTTAGATGTTGTTTAGTTCGTGTATACCGTATATTTATAAGTGATCGTAGGTCACAGTTGCCTGCTACAAAAGTAGCCTAACTAATGTTTTTTTAATGTAAATAAAATATAGATACAAAAGCGTATATAATAGTGTATTATAATAGTGTATGTAAATAGTTGATTTTTGTATATACAATCAATAAACCTTTAAATACGCCTTAAATTGATTTATAATTACATTAAGGTTAAAATGACGTTAAAATCAATTTAAGAAAGTCGTAAGCCTGAAAAATATGAAAGAGTGTTCAATGGTTTTTCTTTACCGGTTTATTTAAATTTAGTCTAAAATTTGACTTATTAAGAAATAATGTTCTTATATAGAGATATAGCGTGCTGCAAAACTTAACGCGCTTGCTGGCCTCCTACACGCTGTCTTATAAATAGCGTGCTATAACATAGCGTATTTAATAGCGCGCTAGAAATTTATAGTTTATAGTCTGTAGCGTGCTATTGACTTTTAATCGTTTTGAACAACTTTAATATGGTCATCCGGTTAATATGGTCAATTTCTTATAACTAAAAACTATAACCTTGTTGGAATAGATGACTTTGTTATACGATAGCTCTTCATCAGTCAATCAAATAATAAAGGATCAAAATGGAGCTGCGTTATGGACACCATTTCATTATATATATATATATATATATATATATATATATGCATCTCTGGTAACTAATGTGGCTCCGACCGGATCAACATCTGCACTCACGAGACTGTTTGCTAGCGTTGGCCGAAGTTGATCCGATATACAAATCCACCTTGCGATGGTTACGGAAAATGTTGATCCGATTTAAATGAGCCAATCAGAGCATAGCAAACGATAAGATAAACGATCGGATTGGCTGAATGCAGCCGCGACGTTGCCGTTTCGTATCTTTGGCGGTACAAGCTACAGATTAAATGCGTGTTATGTAATGCATTCAGGGTGCTGTTTGGTCTACCTCGTTATTGTAATGCTCCGGGTTTGTTCGCGCATGCGCGTGTGGATTGTTTCTACACCACCATGCGTAAACGATGCACATCACTGGTGCGCAGGGTGCGGGCCAGTTCCAATGGTATCCTGAGGGCATTTTCTGACAGGTTTGAGGTCAGTACCTGAACCATTATCATATGGTGTACGTGCTGACTAATCGGGCCTGTCTTATATATAGTTTTAAAGTTAGGTAAATAGTTTAAAGTTTTACGAAAATTAGTTTTAAGATTTGTATTATTACTAACATCTATGATCCTTATGGTCGAAATAAACGACTTTTTTTTAACGAATTAATCGACAACGACCCCTTCTTGTAGCGGAAGTGGTGGCAACGGCGACATAAGGTATTCGTCTGAGTGCGAGAGCGTGTGTGTGCGTGTGTGTGTGTGTGTGTGTGTGTGTGTGTGTGTGTGTGTGTGTTTGTGTGCGTGTGTGCGTGTGTGTGCGTGTGTGCGTGTGTGTGCGTGTGTGTGTGTGTGCGTGTGTGTGTGTGCGTGTGTGTGTACGTGTGTGCGTGTGTGTGTGCGGCAGTGTGCGTGTGCGGCAGTGTGCGTGTGTGAGTGTGTGTATGCGTATGTGCGTGTGCGCTTGTGTGCATGTTTACGCGCGCGTTGCGTGTTTGTGTGTGTGTGTGTGTAGGTGTGCGTGTGTGTGTGTCTGTATTTATGTGAGTGCGCGAGAGCGCGCGTGTGTTATGCGTGTGTTCGTCCGAGTGCGTGTTTGTGTGTGTATGTGTGTGTGTGCGCCCAGAAAACGGAGGCGGAGAATGGAGGCGTAGTATGTGGTGAAGGCGGAGGAGAGGAATTTGTGGTGAAGTCGGAGATAGTGGAAACGGGGAATTGTGTTGGAGGTGGAAAGAATAGTGACGGCGCGTGTGTGTGTGTGCGTGTGAGTATGCGCGCGCGCGCGCATACTCACACGCACACACACACACATACATACACACACATACATACACACACATACATACACACACACACACACACACACACACACACACACACACACACACACACCCACACCCGCACTTACACAAACACAAAACAAGAGTGGACACACGCACACACTCGTACCCACACACAAAAGCAAACACACGCACAACCGCACACACACACACACGAACAACAGTTAACGCACACACACGCGCGCGCGCGCACGCACTCATACTAACACACACACATACTAAAAAAAACACGACAGTGCACACACGCACACATACACTCACACACACGCGCACGCACATGCGTTCACACGAACACACATGAACGCACATACACCCACACGCACGCGCTTACACAAACTCGCATAAACACACACTCACACACACACGCACGCACGCACGCACGCACGCACGCTCGCACGCACGCTCATACACCCACACGCACGCGCTTACACAAACTCGCATAAACACACACTCACTCACACACACACGCACGCACGCACGCACGCACGCACGCACGTTGGCACGCACGCGTGCTCGCGCACACGCACACACACACTCACGCACGCACGCACGCACGCACGCACTCACGCACATTAATTTGTAATAAAGTACTATCCATCATCTTCTAATTGATCTATGACAAATGAATAAAATAACACAAATTCACTCACACGATAACAAAAACTGGAACAAACGTCTTTCCACAATAAAACCTGCCAAAGTTTGATCCACAAAATCAGCAGATAACGCATTTTCTTACCTTATTACTATAACGAAGTAGCCTACTGGGTTCTGGGTTCTCTGTCACACACAGAACGCGACGTTGCCGCTTCGTGTTCGAGTACCTATTCGTCAATTATGGCTCCGGATTCACTTAGTCTAAGTAAATGTCGCATATAAATTAAATATACTCTGGATCTAAAAAATCATATTCAGTATGATTTTTTTCGACCGTTGATAGATCAACAAATGTTGGTCAAATCGCTGACGAGTATATTGACATCCTGTTAGTGCAGATCCACCGACGTCATACGCGCATCAAGAATGGATCAAAGTATATCAGTTTGTGCGACGAGGAGCTGAGCAAACACGTCAAATAGGTGGATCAACAATTGTTCTAACTTCTCACTGGATCAACATTTACCGTGAAAGTTGTGTTTATATGTATAATATTAATTTATTTTTAAGTTTATCTGTAGTTTCTTCCTTGATTTACTCTATTGTTCATTTTATTTTGTCACCTATCAAACTGGTGGGCTGGTGGGTTGACTGGGAGAGAATGCCTAATGGCATTAAGTCCGCCCTTTGCAATCTTTTTATTAAGATGCAATAAAATGTAAATAAATAAATAAATTAGGTATAGGACTTAGTGTTTTTTTGTCTCTGTCCTCTCCCAGTTTTGGTTTTATAAGACAGCAAAGCTTAAGGTACCATAATATATTAATAACCATATTACTCTCACGTATCTTATTATATGAGTTACAAATACATCAAATAAAATAAAACGTTCATTGTTTACATTCATACTGCCAATCAAACATTGTATAATCAATATGTCCACTAAGGTCAAACACATAATAGTAGCAAAAGAATTTTTAAAATTTTGCCATCAAATAATTAAGTACTCTTAAATTGACTGAATTTTGTGCGATTTCAAAGGTTCCGTTTTTAATAGTCTGTATAGATATGTGTTTCATACATTAATGTACAGTCTAAAGAGAAATGATGAGAAATGTACAGTCTAAAGAGCCGTGGTAGCTCAGATGGTTAGCGCTCGCTGTAAATTTCACAATACGCGAGCAAACCGCGTTCGATCCCCGCCGGCACCAATGAAATTGTTAATTGCAATTTTAACCACCACGTGCTCGGGGGTGAAGGAAAACATCGTGAGGAAACCTGCATGTCAGAGAAATAAGGTAAAAATATATTTTGAAGACATGTGAAGTTCGCCAACACGCATTGGGGCAGCGCAGCGGACAATTCCTTGCCCTAAAACCCACTCAGAAATGAGCGGGAGGCCTGTGCTCAGCAGTGGGACGTATATAGGCTGTAACTTTACTAAAGAGAAATACAGCCTGTTTAATATACAAACTTAAAAATCTAATGAATTATGTTCTAATTTCGACCATTGGACGACTACTAGTAATTAGTAAAACAATGGTCTAGTGCATTTCATCAAAGTTTATTCTTTATCATACCTTCTTGGAGAGTACGCGCTAATTTTAGCGGCTCGGCTGGTTCTCCATCCTCCAAATCAGATTCTGGTGAAAACTCGTGGTCTGATTTTGCAGATTCCACTGTCAGGAACGAAATAATACTAATTTATATAAATTAATACATACAAAGAAATTGCCATTTATAATAAAGAAATCTTTACTAAATATTTTTTTACATTGTGATATTGATAAAATTTCTTTTTTCACTTATAGTTGGGCTCTTCAGGATGTTCAAGGAGAGGTTCATGGGATTCAGAAAAATTGCCATTTATAATAAAGGAATCTTTACTAAATATTTTATTGACACTGAGATATTGATAAAAAAAATCACTTACAATCGGGCTCTTCAGGATGTTCAAAGAGAGGTTCATCGGATTCAGAATCAGGTTCTGGGCCAGTGGAGTCTGAAGCCCGCCAAGCGGCCGTCTTCCTTCGGGAGCGGGATTCACCCTCAGAACTGCTGCCACTTGCACGCCATTCTTCTTCGTCGTCTTTGTTCTGGTTATGATGAGGCACTTAGCAATTACATTATAATACAACAATATTAATCTAAAATGTACTTGTGTATCACTAAATAGGAATAATTCACTATTGTTTAGTTCAGTTTCACACCTTCTGAAACTGAACTAAACAATAGAAAACCCAGCCCCAGACAGCTTAGCATACAGACCTATGGCTAACAATATAATGAAGTATAGAAATATACAGATAAAAATAACATTATCTACATAGATTTTTTTTAATATAGGATAGGGTGACAAACCAGCACACAGTCCATCTGATAGTAAGGGGTTGCTGTGCCCATATACATCTACATCTATCCTCGATTACGAATCAAAATGCAGATGCGTTGTCACCCATGAGGACTAAGATGGAATGCCTCGTTTCCAGTAAAAAGGGTCTCCGGTTCTCTACACTCACCATACGAAACACAGCAGCATTAAGCTACTATTTGACGCTGGTATTCTGTGAGAGCGTGGTCCTTCCCCGGTCGAGCCGACCCATTCGTGCTATAACTATATATAATAACACTAATATAACTGCAGCATGGCTCTACCACGTATGATAGAATAGATATAGATAGCATGAAATGTGTTTAATAAAAGCCAAAATTGATCTCTGAAAAACACCTACACCAGATTTTTTTGATTGCCTATTTTATCATGTTTATATAAGAATAGTGTGATATCTCGTGATATGTTGATGTAGCTGAAGTTCTCTGTTATCCTCACAATGAATTGTGAATTAGGACCGCTAATGTGCATTTAGTTAGAATGTACAGAGTATTTGAGGATTTCCGTGTGCTCTTCCATCATAACTTGTCTATCTCTTCTTCCAGCTCCACTTTCTCAGTCATTGGAGTTCGTGTGTAAAATGTTGCTAAATAGTACTTAGCAACCCCTGCCCCGCCGTTACCACACCTGGCAGACGGGTTCGCAACTGCAGTTTTTTATTGGTTAGTTGTTACCAGAGGAAGAGAGTACGCTTCTGCTCATGTTTTGATTTAGTTTTCCTCTTGAAATAATACTAGTTTTTACGGAATTTATCGCGTATATTTTAACTTTTTAAATACCCGACGTTTCGAACGCTTTATAGCACTCATGGTCACGGGCAGGACTGAGATGTTCAACGTCCATATGTCATAGTTAACCGCGGTTACCATAGATTAAAATTTAACTTTTGTTCCGATCTATATGCAGTATGAACTTATGGTATCTTGAAGTCTTGCAGTTGTATGCTTGGGTTGGGATTTAATTTTATTTATTATAGGATCCCAAGCAGATGGTAGCACCCAGCCATCTTCTCTATTGAAATTAGGATGTTTTTTGATTTCAATAGCCTCGCGAATCATCCTTGGAAGGAATCGGTGTTCTTTAGCGAGGATCTGCGGTCTATCAAATCTGATGTAGTGACGGGGGCGATCCTGTACGTGTTCACAGACTGCAGACTTCCCAGAGCGTCGATTCTTCACATCAGCTATATGTTCTTTAACGCGGGTTTTTATTGATCTTTTAGTTTGTCCTATGTAGGAGAGACCACATTCACAATCAAGCTTGTACACTCCTGCATCTTGCAGAGGGACATTACACTTGACCGATGGTAAAAACTGACCAATCTTCTTCAGCGGCTTGAAGTATGTTTTGATGGAAGCGCGCTTCAAGATGTAGCCAATCTTGTCAGTGACTCCTCTAACATATGGCAGTACAGCAGGTACACGCTCGACTGTGGCCGGCTTCACTCGTTCACTGTGACGTAGGCGCGGGACTCGAAGCTTGTCATGCAAAACTTGCTTGACATGGTGGAGCTCTGCAGCCAGGTGTTTACGTCACAGATCCCTCGTGCTCTCTGAAACAAAGATTTACCCACGGTAGCTAACTGTGAAGGATGGTGGTGAGAATCACCGTTGAAATATCTATCTGTATGGGTCTTTTTTTCTATACACAGTATGGCTCAAGGTGTTATCAGGATTCCGAATTACTAACACATCTAGAAAAGCTAAGGAATTGTTTGCCTCTAACTCCATTGTGAACTGAATTTTAGAATTTATAGAGTTAAGATGGTCTAAAAATGCAGTTACTTTATCTAAAGGTAGAATTGTGAAAGTGTCGTCTACGTACCGCTTGTAGAACCTTGGATTTATGGGAGAACTAAGCAGGGCTTTCTCTTCAAAGTCTTCCATGAATATGTCGGCGACAATGGGAGATACAGGTGAGCCCATCGCCACACCATCTACTTGCTTGTAGAACTCCTCCTTCCACAATAGGTAGCCAGATGTAAGGCAGTGTCTGAGTAATACTGCATATTCTACGGGCATGTTGTTTTCTTCCAGCCTTCTAGTTACAATTGAGATGCAGTCTTCAACAGGTAAGCATGTAAACAATGACTGCACATCAAAACTGACCATAGTTTCATTGTCTGCCAGATGTAGGTCTTTAATCTCGCTGACAAAATGGTAGGAATCCTTTATGTGTGCTCTTGTATGTCCCCTGAGTGGTGAGAGTATTTTCGCTAAGTGTTGAGCCAATCTGTAAGTTGGTGAATCGATCTGGCTCACTATGGGACGTAATGGAGCATTGGGCTTGTGTATTTTTGGTAACCCATACAATTTTGGTGATTTGGCTCACGTAGGTATTATCCATTTTACGTCCAGATTTAATTTTTCGGAGTGTTTCTTTATGAGGTCACTAGTTGTTTTTAGTGTGCTAATTGTTGGGTCGTTTTTAACCTTTTTATCTTTTATTTTTATCCGACAAAAGTTCTTGTATTATATATATAAAAACCCGCGTTAAAGAACATATAGCTGATGTGAAGAATCGTCGCTCTGGGAAGTCTGCAGTCTGTGAACACGTACAGGATCGCCCCCCGTCACTACATCAGATTTGATAGACCGCAGATCCTCGCTAAAGAGCACCGATTCCTTCCAAGGATGATTCGCGAGGCTATTGAAATCAAAAAACATCCTAATTTCAATAGAGAAGATGGCTGGGTGCTACCATCTGCTTGGGATCCTATAATAAATAAAATTAAATCCCAACCCAAGCATACAACTGCAAGACTTCAAGATACCATAAGTTCATACTGCATAGATCGGAACAAAAGTTAAATTTTAATCTATGGTAACCGCGGTTAACTATGACATATGGACGTTGAACATCTCAGTCCTGCCCGTGACCATGAGTGCTGTAAAGCGTTCGAAACGTCGGGTATTTAAAAAGTTAAAATATACGCGATAAAATCCGTAACAACTAGTATTATTTCAATGTGTAGTGTTCGCGTAAATATAAGAAATCATTAGTTTTCCTCTGTCGCCTCTTACTACACACACAGGATGATATAGGGTAGTGGGTTCTCTTACGGCGACACTACATGGCTCACACGCGGATATTAAGTTTTTGGAATTTTTAAGCTGTTTATAAGTAGAAGTCGTTCAGATTTAGGCTATGAAAGATGTTTATTCATGGTAAAGACTTTTGGAAATTCTTCAAATTACTGTAGTTCTTATTATCCCAGTCAATGCAAATATGTCGGTCTGTTTGTCTACATTTTCTACAAGTCCTAGAGCTCCTCCCAAGGCAACCCTGTTGTTTAAAATCAATAACTTTATGATATGTTTACAATATTTATTGTCATAACAATAAGAACCATAAGACAATATTTTTTTTAATTCAAAACACTTGACAATTCAAGCATTATGAATACCATAAACTTTAACTTAAAAGTATAATGATCTTTTATGAGGTCAATCCTTGATATGCATATGCAATGACATAATTACAGAGTCAAATTAAAAAATTTGCGAGTATTTACTTCTAACATACTCTAGACCCTGATTATATAATAAAAAAGCCTTTATTTTCGGAAATCATTTACATATTACATGTTGAAGCTGGAAATTTAACCAAACTAAAAAAAGAACTAAAAAAAAGTACAACATTATATAAACTAAAACTACACTTATATTACAAAATGTCTCTTATTTCAGTGTGTTTTTAAACAAAGGCCTCCTACAACTCTTTCCACTGTTTTCTGTGTCTACTACTCATATCCACAGGTTGACCTAAGATGATGAGGACAGGCTCGACCAGGTCCACTTTCTATGGGGCCGCTTCTGAAAGAAAGAGTTCGACATAAAGAGTCCCTTTTTCTCCATGACGTCAGCCAGCTGCTGGCCCCTTGGGTTCCGTTGCCCTATCCCAAATTTCCCTAGCTTCAGCTCACTGCTCTTTCTTGTGCCTAGTTTTGCGTTGAAGTCTCCCATTAACACCGTATAGTGAGTTTCGGAGGAATACATGGCTCTAGAAATATACTGAAATTTTAGGCCATCCTCCCATCTTCTTGCTTTACGACCTTGGCTCCTAGTACTGTCCCTTGGGTACTGTCACCTGTTTGCTCCATTTTTCCTTTTTGCAGTGGAGCATGTGTTTAGTCCACCTCCATGTAAGTTGATCAATATTTGACAGTATGGGTGCGTTTGGCAGAAAAAAGCGCTAGCAAGCGCTTGTAAGCAAAACGGCGATCGTAAGCGGTAAGCGCTGTCAAATCGTAAGTAGCTATTTTCCTCCAGGACACGATGTTAGTTTTAACCGGGGAACCTAACCTAATTTAAATATATGTTTGTAAATTATTCATATTAAAAACTTACCAATCATGAATTTTTAATAACATGTATATGTTTATTCACGTTATTATATTACTTAAAACTAATATTGCACAAAACAACTTAAAAACTCTACTTCAAAACAAACAAATTAAATAAGCAAAATGACGGATTGTGTCAGGCTACTGAAGTAGTCGTGTCCTGGCCGAAAACCATTTCAGCGCTTTTAAGCGCTTGCTAGCGCTTTTTTCTGCCAAACGCACCCTATTCTATTAATTTCGTTTTGCGCCCGATGTTTACACTTCTCACTTTATCCATTAGTTTAAAACCTACGAGGGCGTCTTTTTTATAGAAGAGGGGGCAAACGAGCATGCGGCTCACCTGATGTTAAGTGACTACC